ACTACCCCGTGACTGACCTGGTGCAGATGATCGGCCGCGCCTCAAGGCCCGGCCTCGACGACGTCGGAAAGGTGAGCGCGGCCAGCAGCAGACCCCTTTGCCTGCAAGATTACGCGCCCCCGCCCGTCGGCGTGTCGCAACGGCCGCCCGCAGGGCGGCATAATCAAAGTCAAAACATTGCATATGCGAGGGTGCAGAAAGCTCGTGTCCGTTGCACAGTCCCGCGCCGCAGCCCTTTCCCACCGCTCTTGTAAACCCCCTCGGAAACATCTAGGAACCGCCCGTGACTCCCACCCCCGCAACCGCTCCATGCCCACCGCCCCCCCCCCCCCAGGTCCTCCTGATGTGCGCGGCCCCCCGCAAGGAGTACTACAAGAAGTTCCTGCTGGAGCCCCTGCCCGTGGAGAGCCACCTGGACGCGGCGCTGCACGACACGCTGGTGGCGGAGGTGGTGGCGCGCACCATCGAAAACAAGCAGGTGGGAGGGGGGAGCACTGACGGGGGCGTGTGTGTGTGTGGTCGTGTGCAAGCGTGATTGTGTACAACTTTGAGTTTGTGTGCGCTTGTATGTGCGTTTTGGGGTGTGCTTGTGTGTGTGTGCGCGCGTGCTTGCAGGCAGTGAGTCCATTTGCGTGAAGGGTGGCAGTGAAGACGTGCTGGCCTGTCGCCTTGGGTCACAGGGGGGGATGCGCGGGGGACTCACAGGGCCCCGGCTCATCCGAGCACCAGCAGGCGCGGCTTGGTACGCCCCCGGGCCCGGGGGGCTTGGTACGCCCCCGGGCCCGGGGGTGGGGGCGCGGATCTGATGTGTGCGGACGGGTCACAAGGCGTGGCGCCATTCTAACAGAGCAGGCGATTGCCGCAGTGACAGTTTGATTTGCAGCTGGCTGGGTTGCATATTGCTTGTTTGTATGTGGACAGGAGCTAGGAGCGGGCAGCGTGCGTTTACCGGTGGCGGTGTCGTGGCCACATGCACCACGCAGCACATATTGAGACTGGCCCGCGCGCGCGTGCGGCGTCTTGAGCGTCCGGGCGGGGCCTGCCGGGCGGGCGCGGGCGTTGTTGCTCGCGGTGTGGCCTACGCCTAGTTTGGGGGAACGGCCTGCACGTCCTGGTTGGCCGGTCAAGTGTTCCCAGCACGCGCGCGCCCTCGCGCCCTTGCGCCGCCCCCTGGCGCGCGACCACCCTATACGTCCCCGCCCCCCTTGGAGCGCCAAGACCCCTCCTGCCCCCCTCCTGCCCCACCCCCAGCCTTGCTTTTTTCACCCTCCTGTCACCTCCCAACATCCGACCCGCGTTCACTCCTCGTCTTTCGCGTAGCCCTTTGATTCACGCTCTACCGAACCCCCTGCACCACTGCCCGCTCGCCTTCCCAACCCACCATCATCACCTGCCAGCCTGCCAACAAAATCACACAACCCCTCGTTGTGGCCCCTCGCCCTCAAGCCCCAACCCACCCAACTTGCACCAACCAGGCACCACCTTACCAATCATCAAGTCAGCAAGCCAACCAACCAGCCAACAAACAAATTCTTCCAACCCAACTATCTGGACCCACCAAACCAACCAAATCAACCGAACCAACCAACCAAACCGCCTCAACACTCCCCAGGACGCGGTGGACTACCTGACGTGGACGTTCTACTACCGCCGCCTGAGCCAGAACCCCAACTACTACAACCTCACGGGGGCCAGCCACCGCCACCTCAGCGACCACCTGTCTGACCTGGTGGAGGCCACCATCGCTGACCTGGAGCAGTCCAAGGTGGGTGGGGGAGTGGGTGTGCGTGGGTGTGTGTGTATGTGTGCGTGCGTGCGCGCACGTGTGCATGTGTGTTTGCGAGTGGGTAAGTGTGGGTTTGTGATGGTGGGAGGGCGAGGGGTGGGTTTTGTTGGCTGGGGTGCCAGGGCTGAGCAGGGGCGGGCTGGGAGGATGGAGGGGATTAAGCACGAGCTCGCCGGGGGCGGTTGCGAGCGTCTGAAGAGTGTGTGCCGGATGCTTGGCCTCTTGTTGCCCCGACGGCTGCGAAGTGCCGAGAGGCCCAGCCGCAACAGCTCGATGTGTATTCGTGGCAGTGGCCACGCACATGCTGCTGCCTGCATGCTGCTCGCACGAGAGGCAGCCCATCCCCCTGCCGCGCCGCGTGTGGGCGGCCCCGCTTCCAAGCTCCAAGGGCCTTGCGCCGCCCGCGCAGACGGGGACGCGGGGTGCAACGCGCGGCGGCTGCGCACCCGGCCCTGGTATATGTTGCCGCGTTGTTCACCAGGGCCGCGGCGCCCGCCCGCCCGCCACCTGTCGGCGCGCCCCCTTCAGTACCTTCGGCGCCCCCGCCCGCTCAAGCCGGACCGCCGCGCCGCGCCTCTGCCGCCCGGGCTCCTCCCCTGCCC